AATTACTAATCACTATTTGTTCACATGATTTAAGCTAAGAATAAATTAAATAAATTATAAATATTAAAATGTTTACCACTTTTTCAATTATCGATGGATTTATAAATATTGATATTATATAACTTATTGTATGATGTGTTTGAGACAAACCTTTTGTTCATTAAACAAAATAATTTTATTAAAAAACAAGAAATACACACAATATTTACAAGTTATATGATATTATGATAATTTACATTGTGGACACTCAACTCATTGTGTTAATGAGATTTACAATGTATAATTTATTCTGATGATAATTTATTTTATTAGAAAATTATTTTTAAATATTTGTCAACTCATACATTGTATTGTATTTAGTTATAGCATCCAATGTCATGAAATATAATACATTTTCAATTCTTCATATTGCTCACAAGTCAGTTTTTTGTACAGTGTATGTATAATAATAACTTCATAAACTTCAATTACTTTAAATTGAATAAGATATCGATATATTAATTCATATTTCTTTGTAAACTTTTAAAAATTGAATTAAAAGTAATAGTAGTATTAAAAATATTATTAAATAATTTAAAGTATGAATAAATTGAATGAAGAATTGAAAGAAAATGAGTCTCTTTTATATGATAAACAAGTGATAAATGAGAATTCATTGAAGCGTTCAAAGCATGCAAACAAATACAAACGAATTGGTTTTATGTAAGTTTTTAATTCAACAAATTTACATATATTTGTATATATTACTGTCATTTTTATTTATTTGCCTATGTTTGCACTGTATATCTTTTAATTTTTAACCTTTTTAATTGAAGTTTGAATAAAATTTTAACAATTATTGAACATTTTAAATAATTTAGTTTGAATTTGAATTTTAAAACAAAATATTCAAGTTACGAAAATATCATGTTGATCTGTTTAATAACTTACTTAATAAATTCAATAATTATTTTAAACTTAGATCTAGATTAAAACATTGAACAGTGTAAAGTTTACATTACTCAATATAAAATGCATTTTTAAATTTATATATCGTATTATGTTACAATTGTTAAATAATAATATATTTAATAATTCTCACATAATTTTCAGACATGGTGTGACTTATAAATTACCGGATACTTATAATCGATGTATTTATTGTTTTTGTTTATAAAATATTTTGCTTTATTTTCTATTAATAAGAAAGATATGATAATAAGCCTGTAAACATGTCATTAATTTGTTACGTAAAGCATACTTATTATTGAAAACACATTAAGTCTAAGTTTGCTGGAAATCTCTTTGAACTGACGTCACATGTAAACTGCTTTTAACTGAATTGAAAAGTACTTAAAAATTACACTACATTTTCATTACATATTCACTTTGAGTTTAATTAATGCAAAGTCTTTCCTAAAGACTCTTAGCTAAGTCTCTTGAGTGCAAAACTTTCCCTTTTTATCTTCAAAACATGTTTTGTGCTCAAAATCACGGCTCACATAACCTTTACATAAACTGATGTCATGTTTGTCTGTAAACATGACTTACAGACCAAGATCACGTATTTTAAAAGCGTGATTATACCGGTCATAAATACCGCACACCATTTGAGAAGTTTTTTTTACTATTAATAAATTTCAAAGTTTGTTGTCAACATCTATAATGTTTGGAATCGTCAATAAATTCTTTATATATTATTTTGTAAACATTTGAAACAGTTTACAGTATTTTTGTGTCTAATGAATTTAATAATAATTTTTATTATCCCCTTCTGCTATTGATTCAGTGATTGTTGTTAAATATTATTTTAAAGATTAATATATTTTTAAAGCCACAATATAGATTAATGGACTCATCTGTAAAATATTCTGGTGTAATTTATTTATTATTAATCAATAATCCTGTTATAAGAAATAAAAAAAATATTTATCAATAGAAACAACGGTTCAATCCATTGTACTGTACTTCCAGTTTACTCATTAACTATATTAATAACTATTGATTACATAATGATTTCTTTGAACACAACTTTAATTATAGATTTCAATCGTTACATCCGATTCATTGCGGATGAAGTCCTTAAAGTTTATTATAAATTGTAAATTTATTTTAAACAATCTATATAATGATTCTGTTAATAAATTCAATAAAGACAATCTTTATCGTTGAAACTAATAAAATTTAATTTATAGGATATCTTGTTCTGTAATTAAAGAATATGAATTGACTTTATTTTAATAATATAGAAAACATTTAATTAAATTACATAAGTTTATATAATGTCACAAAACTTTTGAAATATTCAATTTTTATAAAACGTTAGTAATTCGTGAAATAATTTATTTTTATTATTAAATGATTACATGATTGTTTTTATTATTAAGCAGTTTCTGAACGTTGAGTTTAGTTTGAGATATCACTTTATATTATTTTATTCTATTTTTATATTTTATCTTAATGTCATTATTATAATATAATTAAAGATATATTCTTCCAGTGCTTAATGTAACATACAGTTCACAAACACTATACAATACATTAGTGACATCATTAATATTCTATACTTTTAAATTTAATCCTACATAAAAGTTTAAATTTATATTAATATTATATTTATATTATTGAAATTATTTATATTCTAGGTTTTGTGCAAACCCCATTATATTAATTATTTAAACTTCAGAACAATTTATTAAATTTTATATGCTCACCATATTATAGTACAGTATAATATGACATATTAAAGAAAAGTTTGTCTAGATTAAAGTTTTATCTGGATTCTTTTACATATAGATTTACATTGATACTTTTGCTAAAATTAAGAACATTCAATTAATTTTCACATGGATAAGGGTTATTTAAAAAAAATATATAATTACTGTGGTATAAAGTTAGAGTTACTACTGTTCATCAAACAGAATTCTTACAAGCTACAATTATAATTAGATCCTAAATATTGCAAAAATCAACATAAGATTACTTAGTACATATGATTACTTTTATGACATAAATAATTGTCTAATTGTTTTTAAATTCCAAATACATATGAATACAATTTTTACAACTATTGTATTCAACGAATTAAATACGAAGCCGAGTGCATAGAGTCAATATTGGGTAACCAAAAGGGAGTACACAAGCCTTTACACATTTACACGATTTTAATTACTTATTTGATCCTATGTCATACTATGCTCACATTGGTACTCTATTTAAATCTCAATATTTATTAAATAGGATAGTTTATAACCCATCAGTCAGTCAATCAGTCAGTATAATATTAATTAATAAGACTTTTCAAAAATTAAGAATAATTTTATGAATAAAGCATTATTTGAGCATGGTTATTACACTTTCCCAAAGCACAACAAAAAATTATCACAAAATACTTCGAAACTTTGAGTCAATATTTTATTATTATTTTATTACAATTATAAAAATATAATCAAACATGCGTTAATATTAACAACATGATAAAAATACAATTTTTATGAATATATCTGATTTAATAAGCTTATAAAAACATTGAAAAAATAAATTTATTGTAAAATTTGTTAGTTTACCTCTTGTAGTAAATGTAGTTCTCATTTTAATAAAAAATTAATTTTTTGTTAAAATATATATAAATCCAGATCTGAAGAATGACAGAGATGTACAATGATTTTTATTTTAATAATTTATTAAAGTGTTATATAGTTTTAATATATTTAAACTGAAATGTATTTATTATTTATTTTAGTAAAAAGAAAGAAGAATTAGAAACAAGTAATAAAAGACATGAAGAAACGAAAGTACCGCCCGTTTCCTTCTTACAATTAGTGAGTAAATTGTATTTTAAACATCAAATGAACTTGGTCAAATGAATTAAACATCAAATCATTCACTTCTATGTCTTCTATTGTCTAATATATAATTACTTTCTATATATTCAGTTCAAATATGCTAAACCAAAAGACAAGGTATATATGGGCATCGGTTTTATAGGAGCACTGGTAGCCAGCATGTCATGGCCTTCGCTCAACATATTGTTTGGATCCATTGTCGATGTCTTTGTGAACTACGAGAGTGGCAAACGTCAGACAAACAATACAAATGCCATCACAGCTGATGAATTCATGAATGAAATATATACCCTGAGCACTATTCAATTCGGTGCATGGATTCTCATAACTCTGGCCAACTTTATTGTCATGACTTTATTTCCTTTGGCAGCTTTAAATCAAATCCATACCATTAAGATTAAATACTTTCAATCTGTTCTCAAACAAGAGATTTCATGGTTTGATTCAAAATCTTCAGGAGATTTTGCTTCCAGAGTCTCAGCGTATGATTTTGTTAATTAATTTATATATCATTGTTATAAATGATCTTGAATATAAAATTTACAAATAATTATAGAGATCTCAAGCGTGTTGAGGACGGACTCAACGAGAAGTTAGGTCTAGCCATACAGACAGTCGGAGCCGTTGTTTTAAACCTGATATTTGCCTTCTCTTACGGATGGAAACTAACTCTCGTTGTGTTAGCCATCGCTCCGTTCACTGCAGTGGCCACTGGTGTCATGAATAAGGTCTGCAAACTATTTCTCATTTAGACTGTTATTAAGCATTTAGATAAAATGAGATTTATTAAAATTATGTTTACTATTATATTAATTTGCAAATTATAAAACTAGAAATTAAAGTCTTAATAATTGCCAATTATAATGCCACTGACCATTAGGTTCAGGCATCGTTTGCTCGCAAAGAGATGGATTCGTACGCATCGGCCGGTAATATGGCCGAAGAGGTCATATCCAGCGTACGTACTGTTTATGCATTCGGCGGAGAAGCCAAAGAAGTGGACAGATATGAGACTAATTTAGTGCCGGCGATGAGGAGTGGAATCAAAAGGAATTTTATTACAGGATTGGGAAATGGAGTCCTCTATTCCACTCTATATTTAGGGATGGCTTTAGGAATTTGGTTTGGAGTCAAACTCATCATTGAATCAATGGATGAAAACTCAAATGAATATACCATTGGAAAGGTTACAATCATATTTTGGTCGGTATTAAGTGCTGGATATAATATAGGTAAATAATATTGTACATCTATACAGAGTTATATAACATACGCAACTTGAAACACTAATTAATATACAGGAGCTGCTGCCCCACATTTTGAGGCGATCAATATGGCGAGGGGAACGGCTGCTATGATTTTTGATATCATAGAAAGGAAACCAAAAATAGATATCTCTTCAGAAATTGGAAAAATACCTCAAAGTTTGACAGCAGATATAGAATTCAAAGACATTAACTTCAGTTATCCAATGAGACAAGAAGTACCTATTTTAGAGACATTTAACTTGAAAATAAAAGCCGGAGAGACGGTAGCTCTGGTCGGGCCTTCTGGATGTGGAAAGTCTACACTCATTCAACTGATTCAAAGATTTTATGATCCATTATCTGGGAGTATACTCATTGACGGACATGATATTAAAGATTTAAATCTTGGTTGGCTTAGAGAGCAGATCGGTGTTGTGGGTCAGGAGCCGGTCCTCTTTGACACATCCATTAAGGAGAATATTAGTTTGGGTTCACACACGGGAAATGTCACTCAAAAAGATATAGAAGTAGCAGCTATTGAGTCAAATGCTCACGAATTTATCAGTAAATTACCGGATAATTACTCGACATATGTTGGCGATAGAGGTTAGAGAAAAATATTTTTTGTTTTGGTTTTAGTTTACTGTACCTGGTTGCCTTTTATGATTTATATAATTTTTATACTTTTCAGGCGCACAGCTATCGGGCGGTCAGAAGCAGAGGATTGCAATCGCCAGGGCTTTGATTAATAGACCGAAGATATTATTGTTAGACGAGGCCACCTCTGCCCTCGATATGCAGTCCGAGGCATTGGTTCAGACAGCGCTGGATAAGGCCTCGAAGGGAAGGACTACTATAATAGTTGCCCACAGATTGTCTACTATTGTTAACTCAGACCGAATCATATTTATAGAAAATGGTCGGGTTTCAGAAATGGGAACTCATAGAGAATTGATGGATCAAAAAGGATTGTATTTCAATTTAGTAATCACTCAACAAATGAGTAAAAATCATAGAATTGAAAACATAAAACAACACCATTTGGATGATGTAGACCTCGATCCCATGTCTTATAAGAGGACCATAAGTGTAATGAGCAGTTCCGCCAATTCTGCACTCAATAGTATAGTTAACGATAATAAAGAATCAGAAGAAGAAGGAATTAAGGATTTTCCTCAAACAAGACTATTGAAAATGCTTGCAGTCGACAAATATTACATATTTTGTGGCCTCATTTGTTCAGTACTCTATGGACTCGTTGTTCCCCTCTATTCCTATTTATTCGGTCTATTAGTTGCAGTGTTTGCTGAAGAGACAAATGTGGACACCATTTGGGATAAATCTATTAGTTATGCCCTCTATTATGTTGCTATTGCTGTCGGCGTTGGCATTGTTTCGGTCACTCAAGTATTAAATCTAAGATTAATTTAATTAATTAAAGATTATATTAAATCTATTAAATGCTTCAACTGTTTAAACTGTAAATTAATTTCAATTTAGATAACAATGTTAGGCATTGCGGGGGAGAGACTGACAATGAGGTTAAGAAAGATGGCATTTGCGGCTATTTTGAGACAAGAGATCGGATGGTTTGACAAAATCGAGAACAGCACCGGATCTCTATGTGCAAGACTTTCGTCAGATGCGGCCAATGTTCAGGGTGTAAGTCAAGTCAATGCAAACAATTTAGTGACAAATTAACAAAAACTTATACAAACCAGGCATCCGGTTCCCGAATGGCTATTATATGTCAGGCGTTCACCACATTTGTCACGTCAGCCATTGTGGCCTTTATTATCAATTGGAGGCTAAGTCTCGTTACCTCGGCGTTCATCCCTTTCATAGTAATTGGCGGCGCTTTTGCCGCTTCCGTCGATAACAATGAAATGAAGAGTAATAAAGAGGCGAACGAGAAGTCATCGAAGATTGCATTGGAAGCCATCGGAAGTATCCGTACGGTTGCGTCACTCCATCAGGAAATCTATTTCTTCTCAAAATATTCAGAAATTCTTGAAAACAAATTGAAGTAATGATTGAATTTTAGTTGAAAATATTTTTTATATTAAATATTGTTTCGCAGGACATCTAAACGGAAGTATTATTTACGAGGAGTTCTGCTGTCAAACGCATTGAGTATTTTATTATTAGCCTATTCTGTGGTCTTCATATACGGAGGAATATTAGTGACAAAAGATCTCATAAAATCTGGAGAATTCTTTATGTATGGCTTATGAGATAATTATTTGTAAATCACTATAACATTTAATGTTTAATATTGTATTTATAGTGTAATCGAGACCCTTATATACGGCGCCTCATCTGTTGGTCAGAGCACAGTCTTCGCGTCCGACTACCAGAAGGCAAAGTCTGCGGCCATTAATATGTTTAAATTGATTGACAGAAAACCATTGAGTGCTACAAACAGTTTACTCGTTACCGAAAAACCAGACAAATGTGACGGAAATATCACATTCAGGGGCTGTTTCTTCAATTATCCCAATAGACCCGACGCTCAGATTCTGAATGGACTGTCATTTAAAGTAAGCAAAGGGGAAACGGTAGCACTTGTCGGGTCAAGTGGTTGCGGAAAATCCACAACAATTCAATTATTGGAAAAGTTTTATGATTTAGATCATGGAAAGATTGTAAGTGATTTGAATGATTATTTTAGTTACAGTATTATTAATGTGAAACTTATTAATCGTATAGTTTATGGACGGAAAGAATATAAATTCATTGGACACCCAATGGATGCGCTCACAAATGGCACTCGTATCACAAGAACCAAATCTATTCAGTTATAGTATTCGTGAAAACATCGCTTACGGCGATAACTCACGTGTTTTGCCGATGGATGAGATAGTGTCGGCCGCACAGAAGGCCAACATTCATAACTTCATTAAAGACTTACCCAACGGTTACGACACAATATGTGGGTCAAAGGGCGCACAGCTCTCGGGTGGACAAAAGCAAAGGATAGCAATCGCGAGGGCTTTGGTCAGAAATCCACAGATATTACTATTAGATGAGGCGACCTCTGCTTTAGACACCGCATCTGAAAAAGTATTTCTCTGTTAAATAAAAATTAAATGAATACTAAATTGTGGTCTTTTGAATGAGCAGTTAGTTCAGGACGCTTTGGATGAGGCCTCGAAGGGAAGGACATGTCTAGTGATAGCACACAGACTGACAACCATTCAAAACGCCAACAGAATTGTTGTCATTCAAAAGGGTCTTACCGTTGAGGAGGGATTACATGAAGAATTAATTGATAAAAAGGGATTTTATCATGAATTATATAAAACTCAACCACAATAGTTTTAAAAAATAAATTTTAGTTTAATAATACTGTAATAGTCAAGAAATTTTCATTATTTGACAATCATTTTTTTCTCTTATAGAGATTATGTGAAAACTCATATTTTTATATAATTTATATAATTATTTTAATAGTTTGTCATTTGTATTTTATAAAATACTATATTTATTAAAATTGTCTTTGAGTTTGCATTATATTTTTCTCTTATAGAGATTATGTGAAAACTCATATTTTTATATAATTTATATAATTATTTTAATAGTTTGTCATTTGTATTTTATAAAATACTATATTTATTAAAATTGTCTTTGAGTTTGCATTATATTTTAGTTAAGCAATTTATTTTGCTATATTTTGATATTTAATTTTCAAGTATGAGATCAAATGTATAAACTTGAACTGTGTTATGGATTAAACGTGATTTCTAAGATTTTCTTTAGCTATTTGTTGTGTTTCAATGAAATTTAATTTATTTCCTTTCATGAGTGAAACAAAGATAAACTTACGGCTTAAATAATTGTTATGCAATGCTATGTATTACACACAAGAAGTTTTAATATTTCTCTGTTAACTAAAAAAGTTTAAATGTTTTTTAGACATTAACTAGTAAGCAAAATTAATTTTAACAAGATTGTATTAACATTACTATTTTTACAAAATACAGTAATATATCCTTACTAACTATAATTTATAAGTTTTTATAACATTAAAAAACAATAAAATTATAAATCAAAATATATTTGTTGTATAAATTAAATAAATTAATCTTAAATATCTTAAAATATTACCTTTTCTTTCATTATTGCAATTAATTATAAATGTCTTATTGCAAATAAATTAATTTGTAACAAAATACAAACAATGTATTGACAAAGTTTATCCATTGCTACGATACAATTAGAATATATCCTCGCAAAAAATGACTTAAATAGATATACAAAGAATGCAATTAAAATTAAAGCATTTTTGTTAGAAATTCAATATCTTTTGTCATTTTTCAATACTACTGTGACTTAACGTCCGTTTGTTTTGACAAAAACTTAAAAAAGAAATTTTATGAAATATTTCTCATCAAATCATTTCCTCAAACACTAATTAAAGAAATAAAAAGTAAATCAATAGAAAAGTCTTATATAAATTTAAATGATTTGTTTCGATGCACTCATATTCGCAAATCGTATCCTTTGGATAACAAAACGACATTTAAAGGACACAATAAAAGCATGAATTTATAGATGAATATACTGTGCTTTACTTTAGTATCAAATTCATTGTGTATATTTTTTTTATAAAAATAATGTGAATTATATGCTAATTTCCTGAATAATTAAATAATAATTTGACTGTTAATGACACTAATTCTTATGATATTCAAAACCAACTCAACTGAAAATGTGTTTATGAAAGTTTTTAAAGCATACTGTACTACAATATACAAACAAAATAGCTTTATTAAAAAAATATATTTTACTGTTTTAGAAATATTTATAAGATTTATTTTAAATCAAATAAGTTAACACAACTACAAAAATAACAATTAATTAAAAATAAAATGCATTGTAAAATATAGTATTTTAACTTTTAGATAATATTTTGCATATTCAACAGAAAGCAAAAGAGTTGAATGAGAAAAAGGTATTTCCGCTAATGTTTTGGTTGACATTCACATTAAAGGTTAGCTATGCATAAGAAATAGTGACAAAAATCAATTAATTTTTTGTCGTATTTTATAATTTTTGGTCAAAAGAAATTTCGTATAAATACTTTGTCTCACGATTTCTGAAATCATTATCAATTCATTTGTTTCGAAAGCATTTGAAAACAATTTCAAAAGTCTAAAATGTGGTTCAAATGTGTAAGAATAGTGTTTTATACATTTGTTTGAAATGTTTCATTTTGTGCTATTTTTCACATACTTTCACTCAAATATTATTCATATTTTCAGATATTTTTGTTCACTGTTCTGTTGGTTGTGATTAATGCTAACGAATCGCAAAATGAAAACTTTGTGGAGATTTCAAACGACAGTGACTTAGAAACAGACGCTTCGGACTTATCAGTGGCTGAGACTAAAGTGGTTGCGGGAGGAAAGGGAGCCGCAGTTGTGGCCAAAGCCGCCGGCAAGAAGGGCGGAGCGGCTGCTGTTAAAGCCGGCAAAAAGGCTGGAGTGGCGGCCGGAGCCAAAGGTTTCAAAAAGGGAGCATTTGCTGCGGGAAAGGCTGCCGGTGCGGCTGGATTTAAGAAAGGCAAAAAGGGTGGCGCTTTCGGTGCCGCCGGCAAGAAGTTCAAGAAGTTTGGCAAAAAGGGAGCATTTGGTAAAGTAGGCGCCGCCGGGTTTAACAAGAAGTTTGGAGCCATTAAGACATTCGGAATGAAACAGGGATTCAAATTCGGGAAAGTCGGCGGAAAATTCGCGGCGGGAGGGGTGGCCGGAGCTGCAGGTTTGACACATGAGTGCACACGTGAGACACATTAGTCACTGAATATTGTGTTAACTTATACTTTAGGCAAAAAGGGAGCCAAGTTTGGAGCTGCCGGTGCGGCCGGTTTCAAAAAGGGAGCTAAAGGTTTGAGAGTGCAATCGTTTGAATATATATTGATTTGAAATTATATTGCAATTAACAGCCGGTAAGAAGGGAGCGGCGGCTGCCGGTGGAGCCAAAGGTGTTAAGAAAGGATTCGCTGCGGGAAAGGTCGCCGGGAAGAAAGGAGGAGCCGTTGGCGCTAAAGCTGTGGCCAAAAAGGCATTTGCAAAGGCCGGCAAAGGAATCGGACGTTAATCTTAGCCAAACTCTACACAATTGCTTCAATCTTACAAATTATCAACTTATTATTATATTAATTATTAGCTATGATTTGTTTTATTTTATTACTTTATTGTTTGAAATTAAGCCAAAGTTTAAAACTTTGTAATTATTAAATTAAGCATATTTACTTTCTAAATAATCAAATAATTGCATCATTTCACACTTATTATAGATTCCCTGTATTAAGAAATCTTTAAATAAAATGTGATTCAAATTAAAAATTTAAAAACTTGTCTTTATTCATTATTATTACAGTATTGGTAACTATTATTATTTTATTTCATTAATATACGACTCAAAAACATATTGATTAAAATATTTTATTTAAACATTGTAAAACAGAAAAGAGATAATTTAGTCATAATAACTATAAATTATATTTATGATATAATACAGCATTAACTTTTACTAACATAAAAGACGATTTTATGCCTATTTTAAATTTTAGCTTGAAATATTTTTCAAAATGTATTAAATTGATTTATCCAAATAATAAATGATTACAAGTGTTTTAAGAATATTGAAAAATTAATTTAATAATGAAACGTACAGGTATGTATTAATAAATCAAATGCTATCAGAACAAATGAAACAAATAAAAAATCTGGTTATAACAATCATATTAGGGGTGATTCACATATTTGGCAAAAAAGCCCTAATTG